CCTGCCCGTAGGCCAGCACCGTGGCATTGTAGCCCTCGAAGCAGCCCTCGATGAGCCTGTGCACGCAGGTGGCGTACACGTGCTCCTGCCAGGTGTCCAGGTCGAAGACAAAGTCGTAGGTGAAGGCCTTGTCCTTCCCCAGGAGCACCTGGGGCTCCCCCGGGGTGACGGAGGTGCAGATGTGGCAGCCCTCAATCTTCTCCTTGGACAGCTGCGGCCGGATCCTGCCGGGAGCAGGAGCCCCGGTCAGCTCTCCGCCCGGTCTCCCCACTGCACTTCCACTCCCCAGCACCCCCAACCCCCCCAGAACCCCAAGCTGGAGGAGAAGGGAGGAAGTTTAGGTGCACGCGTCCCCGCTCCGCCATCGCTCCCCCAGGCAGAGGACAGAGGCGGCTTCTGTAAAAGTACAATAATAAATCCAGCCGGCAGGGCTCAGGGGTTGGCGTCGACCTATGAACCAGGAGGTCACGGTTCGATTCCCGGTCAGGGCACACGCCTGGACTGCGGGCTCGATCCCAGTGTGGGGTGTGCAGGAGGCAGCCGATCCATGATTCTCTCTCCTCCTTGCTGTTTCTCTCTCTCTCCCTCTCCCTTCCTCTCTGAAATCAATACAAATCTATTTTAAAATAATAATAATAATAATAACAGCAATAACATGGGCACCACCTGGCACCACAGCTGCTGACACCGACGTGGACTCGTCTGTCGGAAGCATCTCAGGTCAGTGAATCCAACCCCCCTGTAAGCCCGGCCTGACAGGCGAGACGGGGGTGGAGGGGTTTCCATGACTGGGCCCAGGCTGAGCAATGGGACCTGACAGCGCCCCCCGCCCCCCAGGCCGGGCTGACATGAGCACGCACTCCTGCCTCCAGGGGAGCCCCCGGCAAAGCAGGGAGCGGGGTGGGGACGGAGGGACAGGCCTGGCCGCTCCCGGGCTCCGGCCTCGGTTCTGGAGGAGACCAGAGCCTCGCCAAGGCCTGGGGGGCCAGAGCACCTCCAGCTCAGACGCCCCCTCCCCGAGGCAGGGTCTGGCGGACATTCTTGGGAAGCAGCTCTGGTTTCTCTCCTGGCACTCCCCCATCCCCCCTTGCAGCATCAAGCAAGGCCAAGTTCGCTGAGGAGGGCGGGGACCTGTAGCAGGAACCCCAGACCAGCCACAGGGGGGGTCCACAGCCCAGATCCCGGTGGGGGGCCAGGAGGGTTCCCTTGCAAAAAGGAAGAAAAGTGGCATCAGTTTGAGGGGGGCTACCTCCATCCCTCAGCTGCTCCCCCCTCCTCCAAGCAGCCGTTGCCATGACGACGTCGCCATGGCAACCAGATGTGAGTCAGTGAGCATGTGCGGAGGGATTGGCAGAAAGCACCTCCCAAAATGCCTAAAGCGAAAGGGGGTGGGGTGGGCGCGAATGCCCCGGGGCTCCCCCCCGCACAAGCCAGCCCTTGGCTGCCAGCTGGGCCCTCACAATGAGCTGCTTGTCAGGCCCGGCTCCCTAAGCCAACATTTACCCGCAGAAGAAGAGAGAGAGAGATCCGAGCCAGCAACCACCCGGGGCCCGGGGGCGCCGGCCACCACCTCCAAGCCAGGCCTCCCGCCCTCCTGCCCCTGCCCCGGGGCTGGCCCAGGCCCTGAGCTGTCTCAGAGCTGCAGGCCTGAGCTCACCTGAGCCCATCTGAGCCTGTCCCCTGCTCTGTGCTGTGAGGGCTGGGGAGGGGCTGGCAGGTGCTCCGGGCCCAGAGCCCCCACAGACGGTGGCCTGGGGTCATATATATATATGTGTGTGTGTGTGCGTGTGTGCGTGTGTATAAAATATTTTATTGATATCAGAGAGGAAGGGAGAGGAAGAGATAGAAACATCAATGATGAAAGGGAATCATTGATTGGCTGCCTCCTGCACGCCCCCTATTGGGGACTGAGCCCGAAACCCGGGCCTGTGCCCTTGACCGGAATTGAACCTGGGACCCTTCAGTCCGCAGGCTGACGCTCTATTCGCTGAGCAACACCAGCCAGAGCTATATATATTTTTATTGATTTCAGAGAGGAAAAGCGAGAGAGATGGAAACACCAATGATGAGAATCATGGGTCAGCTGCCTCCTGCCCCCTATTGGGGACTGAGCCCGAAACCCGGGCCTGTGCCCTTGACCGGAATTGAACCTGGGACCCTTCAGTCCGCAGGCTGACGCTCTATTCGCTGAGCAACACCAGCCAGAGCTATATATATTTTTATTGATTTCAGAGAGGAAAAGCGAGAGAGATGGAAACACCAATGATGAGAATCATGGGTCAGCTGCCTCCTGCATGCCCCCCACTTGGGATGGAGCCCGCAACCTGGATTTGTGCCCTTGTCTGGGCCTTGGGACCGAACGCTCCCCGCCCACGGCGCCCACAGCGCCCAGGTGCACGGGGTCAGGCCTGGGCAGCTTTGCCGGTTGGACCAGCTCCTGCAGATGCCCGCCCGGCCCCGTGGGCCGCTTTCGATGGGATTTCTGGATCCCATTCAAACACCATTTAATTACCCCAGGCAGATGGCCATGCTGGCGATTGGAGGAAATCGAATCAGGGTCCCTTGAGGCCGGGATGGTGGGGCGCAGGGGGTGGGCAGAGGGACGGCTGCTGCCCTGCCCATCAGAGCCCGTGGGGAGGTGAACAGTCCTTCACCAGTAGCCCCGAGGCCACGGGATCCTGCCTGCTGGGAACAGGAGAGCCGGCCCGGAGGGGACGGTGACAAGGGGCGCAGGGACGTTAGGGTCCGGGAG